AATATGCATTTTAATTGTTTGAATTTCATAGGGTGGGAACTGTTAGCTCCGGATAAATTTATTTGAGTAATATAGAAATTTTATTAATATTGCCCTATAAAATTAAAACGTTGACGCATTTAAAGGGAAAAGTTCATATAAACTCTTGTACTTGTACGTGCCCTTACTTTTCTGCTGCGGGCACGCAAAATTTATTTTCGGTAAATTTTGTCAATTTGTTAATCAAAACACCATATTTTCAGTATTTCATAAGGGTCTCAGGTTTTAGTAGTAAGAAGATTTAATTTTACATGCATGCCCTTACTTTTCTGTTGCGGGCACGCAAAATTTATATTCAACCAATTTGGAATATACCGTAGATAGAGATAGACTCTTTTCTTTCAATGAAAACCAAAAGCTAGGCGTGTCACGAAATACTTGTCACAGATATTTTGGAACAGTCGATTACCTGTTCCCGATATTTAAATAACATGTGATTTGAAGCAACAGGTTGGCCTGAGTTTTAGTGAAAGGAGATATTTTATTCTCATGAAGTGGCAAGGTTTTGTATGTATGGGAGTGGGACCTAAAGATTTTTCTAATCGATGCAATTATGATTCGTTATATAACAATATTCAAAAAACAGAAAATATCGATAACAGCGGTAAATGCCGTCCCCGATATTTTCTTTAATGTGACTTGTTGTCTGTTGCACCTTGATAATCTTGTATCATTTGATCATTGTGTCGCGATTTGAACAGATTATTAGATTGTCTGTTACATGCAAAAGCAATTAATTTGAAACTTGATTTAAAAATGTAATTATCCATTGATGAAGCTAAAAAACAAAAGTTCAAAACTTTCACATAACAATGATTCAGAAATGTTATGACACACTTAAGTTTCTCATAAGTGTCTCAATAATGAATTAAGTGATTGCCTATATTTAGCGGTATTGGAAATATGCAATGTTTACGATGATAAAATAGTCCATTACCTTGTAACGTACTTTATTACTTACTTCATAATAGAGATTACTTAGAAAGTTACTAATGAGAAGTAACTCTATTTTATCCGGCTAAATCTGGAATGTCTGGAAAGATTTTCTCATGTATGTTGAAGTCTTATTTAGTATATCTCACGGTCATCAAATAACACTACATTGATATAAATATCTAATAAAGTAATAAAAAATACTTAATTCTGATCTGAGAGCTTGTGTGAAATTCGAGTTAATTATTCCGACGGTTTCGAATGCGACCAGAGGAATCATTTATAATTCATGATCTGACTCGATTGTGAATCATAGCAAGCTGCATAGACTGAAAGTTTCATAAAAACGGAGCCAAAGTCTGATCTGAGAGCTCGTCTGAAAATCAAGTTAAATATTAATTCGCTCTTAATGGGGCAAATAGTGTGCGTTCATAAATCATGACATGGTTTGTGTAGGTTTAACTTTGATTTTGTGGGCTACGTTTGGATCTGCTAATACATGTGCAGCGTCTCACAATATATAAAGTTGAAGCTACTCAAAGTTTCGTGAAAATTGAGCAAAGGGCTTGAGAGCTACTGTTTAAACAGTAGCTCTCCGATCAATTCATCAATCAATCAATAATCAACAATTAATTGTAGATACAAAAGTCGCCACATGAACGACTTGTTTCTTCCTTTATAGCGAATACCCAAAACAGTTCGATCGAGAACTGGAAATTCTACAAATAACAATTCTACAAGGAATTAGTCATCCGAAGGGCGAGTAGGCAAACGATTATATCATCAAGTTCAGTAACTCGGTGCGTTTTGAATGGGATAACCTTAATATACCTATCATTAGCTTTTTCAAAAAGCTAAACTTTTAATTCAGGTTATTAAGGACAAAGGGCGAAATGTATTCGGTTCTTTGCTCATAAACGGTAAATATGGACCGATTTGGCCGACATTTATTTTCAGCTTCGTGTCGATATTCATTTGTGTTCAAGTGTGTGTGCTTTTTGAAGATGAATGCGAAGAAAATTGAGAATGGGACGCCAGTTTGCAGACAGCTGGTAAGAATTATTAATTAAGCCCTTAACTTAATTTACTATTAGGTACTAGTTTTCCGAGAACCAACTGACAGTAAGAGCTTTCTATTTTGTTTTATTTTCATTTAAATAAAATAACTGGGTTTTGGATAAAGTTTCTGTTGTAAAAAATAAAATATTTTTCTTTCTTTCCAGGTGGCACAATGCAGGTTTCGGTAAGTTTAGCATTACCTACTTTGCCACTGGCGGATAGCGCCTTGGTTAGTTATCCGGGGCAACCATTCAGGTTTCGCGCGTTTTTTTTTTTATTTCAAATATTCAGAAATTATTTTTGCCAATCGATTCGTGTTTTTAGGGGCTAGGCGTCTGAATATTTGCATTTTTTACTGTTTATTGTTTTATGACCGCTTAGCGCCTAAAGAGGTAGCGTGTAATTCTGGCCAAATATTTAGATTTGGCGATATTTTTCTATATGTATTGTGACAAACATTTAGGAGTGGTAAAGAACGCATAACAAATATTTTAGTTTCATAAACATACGTCCTAAAACGCAGCTTATCCCGGATACAGGCAATTTCATTTGAATTTTCCGATGTAATTAGGTTGGCAGCATGTAGGAGATATTTTTAGGGGCCATGTCCAATTTTACTGGCCCGATCTATTTTGCGGTGCGCTACTAAAATTTAAGGTTTTTTTGTTCAATTTGGAAACTTTCTTATCTGCTGCATTTATTTTCGTATCTACCACCGTTTTGAAGCTACAACAAAGCCAAATAATTAATTAATACATGCTACGTAATTTTGCAAGTATTAAATGAAAAACAGAAGGGTGTCGCCTACCACCAATAAAACAAGCGGAACTTGAAAATTAATGAGTCATTTGTGTCGTTTATATATTACATTTCAAAATTATACTACGTCCGAGAACCACCGTAGTAGGCGATCCACTAGATAAATAGTGACAATTGAAATTTTAAACAATAGAAAACGTATTATTGGAGCTACCTAGTTAACATGACTAATACACATGGTTTATGGAGAATCGGTTTCCGTACTTTTATTTATTGATATAAATTTTACATTGCATTCCAATAGTTTCAGGGCGTATAGCCATGCAATAACTTTATTAATTTATATTGCTCTGAATACATAACTTAATATTCACAGTTTTTTACATTAACCTTTACATTTACATTAACATTCGCATTATCGATAACTACTAACTATTAATCCCAAAAGATTATAAAGAAAACTCGAATACACATACCAAACTAGACAAAGATCTAACCAGAATTTAGTTTCTTCTTCTCAGGTATGGCAAGCCAAAGATTGTGACAAGTTTAGATTCAAAACTATACAATTCTCTTCCAATTAGCATCACAACTGCTTCAAATCATAAAGTTTGCCGTAAAGTGAAAACCACTTAGGTAGTTACATTCATTTTTAATGTTACAGTTATTAGTGTATTGTATGAGAGCACAACGGTATAAGATACAATTTACTCTTCAGTAGGTAGGTAGGTAGGTATATAGATTTTCTCATAGTTCTCAGCATTTTATCATGTAGGTTCTTTATTTTATTGCATATGCCCATTTTCTTCCGGATTTTAAAATAATCTATTTTTGAAGTGGATGTAGATACTTCATTTTTAGTTCAATAAAGTAACATTACACTTCCATGTATTAAAACAGATAGAACATTAAGACATTGGGTCGCATATGGGTATATAAAATGTGTACTTACTTGTCCTGCTTTGGTAACTCATAACGAATGGCTGCCAAATTACTCACACCTAAAACAGATACACATTCTTGGAATCTTATCACATCACATGTAGAAAATATTGACATTTTAAGTGTAAAATCACACATGAACCGTTCGAAAACCTGGCACCAAAACCAATAAAACAATATCTGTATACTAACATTAAAATCATGAAATATTTTCACCACAACAGCAATGAAAAGAATAAATAAGGAAAGATTTATGATAAATAGTGCATCCCACGCACAAAGAAAAACGTCCATTTTGATCTCATACACAAATCAATGCAGTTCATATCAGTTTAATATGCACAACTGCACGTCAATATTTCTCCAAACGGTCGTGTAGGTACGAAGAAAAATGAGTAGCTTACCCTGGAAAAGAGTTTTGAGAAAAACTTTCCAGTCAAAACACAAAAATCTCAGCTTATTTAGAAATTATCTGTACCGCACCCGATGTCGATTCTATACTCTTGCGTTTGCGCTACGCTAACCTGCAACTGTCAACTGGTGACAACGTTCGATGTTCAACCTCAGCAATGTTGCCATACTGATTAGAAATTATATTGCAGAGCCATCTAACACAGCACCCACTACCCAGGCGAGTTATGAGGACCAACGACGTATGAACTGTATAAAATAGTTGCTCTGCTGTGGTTTAAAATAGTGCATCAAATTTACTTGAGCTGTTTTCTTTGAACGTGGTGTATATATTTTTCGGCTTTCTATTTTCTGGGAATATGGGTACATGCATTTTTAAATTTTTGTTGATTAAAAAAAATGTACGAGGTTTTCACTTTTAATATTTCAATTATTTGCAAAAACTTACGAGGTTTTGTAACACAATATCAATCTGTTAACAATAATAATTAAAGATGTTGGTTAAATAAATAAAACGACGTAATTTACCAGCCGGTTTTTCAGAAATTACAAAAAAAATTACTAAGTACGCAACTAAATTCCATAGTTTTCATTTTAGGGGAACGACATTTTCCTTAACTTTTATGGAACAGAGCTTAGGTGATTATTTTTATTCGCTAATAAGGCTGTCATAAAATGGTCTGTATTCCTGCGGGATAAACTGTTTTAATTCTTGCAGGTGTTGGAACTAGGGCTCGGAATCGAACTCCAATAATTCGAGTATTCGAATATTCAGAAAGCGAATAATTATGTCTAGCCAAAACTCGAATATTCGATTATTCGAATACTCGAATACTCGAATACTCGAATACTGGATACTCGAATACACCAACATTATAAAATTCACAAGTTGCAAATATCTTTATATATGCACTTTGTATACTTTTGTAAAATAAATTATTCATATTCTACAAGCATTTAAACAAATACCCATATATTTACAAGCAAATGAAAATAATCATTTGCCCCCCTGCAAATGATATAAAATTGCGAGTCTGTGTTCTGGTGACTCGCGTCATCAACTTTTGCGCCGTGTTTCTATTAATGTGCCGACAAAAGGTCGGCACTTTTTTAAGTTAGCTCCAGAAATCGTGTTAAAAATCGCTGTCAAAAGGAAAAAAATGTAACCTTCATCCATCGCGGCTGTTACCAAAAATGATATGAAATAACGATATATCTTCTTGGAAAACGGTGAACGGAAATCCAATAGTCAAACATTCGAATATTCGAGTACTCGAATATTTGAATACATACTCGGTTATTCGAATATTCGTTAGATATTCGAGTATTCGAATAATTTTACTATTCAAACAAACCACTAAACGAGTATTCGAATTTCAGATTTAAAAAAATTCCCAGCACTAGTTGGAACTTCTTCTTCATTCTTGATTTTAGGCAAATCGCCTGTTCAATTATCGTTCACTTGCGTGAGGCTGTCGCTCCATCGTTTCCTGGGGCGCCCAACGTCTCTTCGTCCCACTAGGTCCAATGTTCCGAGCGATTCTTCTCAAGTCTGCGGTGGTCCATCCTGCTTATGTGCTCATTCCATTCCTTCTCCCTGTTTGCTATTCATTCATTTATGTTCTTGACATTACAGGCTTTTCTGATATCCTCGCGTCTCTCTCTATCCAGCAGTGTCTTTCCCGTGGTTCTACGGAGTATTTTCATCTCATCTGTCTCTAGGAGTCTTTTAGTTTTCGCTGTTTCTGGCCTGGTTTCTGCGGTATTTGTCATCACCGGCCTCACGGCGGTTTTGTAGATCCTCGATTTAGTGTCCGTTTCCATACTCTTATTGAACCATATTGTATTCAGGCAGCCAGCTACTCTAATTGATTTTGTTGTTTGATCTCTCACCTCCGCCTCAATATCCCCAAAGCCGGAAAGTTCCACGCCAAGGTAGGTAAATTTCAGTTTCTGCTCAATTACTCTACCGTCAAGTTCCAGTTTGCATCTTAGAGGGGTTTTTGATGTTGTTAAGCACTTTGTTTTGGTCGGTGATATTTCCATATTTAGAGACTTGGCTGTCAGGGTGAATAAGTGTAATAACCTTTGTAAGTCATCTTCACTTTCTGCAATGAGAGCGGCATCGTCAGCATAACACACTATTTTGATTTCTGCATCCCCTATTTTATATCCCTTAAGCCCTTGAACACTTCGAACAATTTCTTCCATTATTAAATTGAAAAGGGTAGGACTCAGGGAGTCTGACGAATACCGCGACCCGCTGGTATTGGTTCTGTGAGGTTGTGAGGCTCCTTCTATTTGTGCTTGTATTTTATTTTTTATATATATGTTCTCTACGGTTTTAATGAGATTGTGTGGGATTTGCCTGTTCTAAAGGAGATGTAGGACGTCTTTCAGCTGGACACGGCCAAGTCCTCTAGTTAGATCAACAAAACATATAAACGCTGGCTTGTTGTATTCAATCGACTTCTCGACTATCTGTCTTTATACGAGCACGGCGCCTGTGCAAGATATTCCCGATCTGAATCCCTGTTGTTCATCCGCCAACGATGTAAGATTGTTGATTTTGTTCGAAATTAAAAGGTTTATTCCTCTATAATTTGATGGTATTCTCTTGTCCCCTTTTTTGAACATTAGCACAGTAGTGCTGGTCCGCCATTCATCTGAGATTTTGTGTTGATATATAATTTTCTGTATTAAAGTTGTTAATTCTTCTGTGTTCGAAATTATTAGGTTTAATTTTTAGCGCTTTTGTATTCAACTACGTAGTTACGTACGTAGTACGTTTTATGTTAAGCATCATCAGACCTGTGACTTTTGGATTATGAGTCCTATTGCCCGGGCGAATAGAAGTATAGGAGTAACGCAAATTCATATTTTCGAAAGTGTGAGGAATATAATGAGCTTCATACTGATTTTTTATTTAAGCAGTTTTTGCTATTTGCACTTAACACCCGAGCACATAGACCTCCCGATTCAATTCCAAGTCCAATTCAGAGATTTCCTGCATTACTGTCTGGCAAATAAAGTTTACGAGGTTTTGGCAGATGGTGCCAGAGATTCCCAAAATTAATTAATAATGGACTTACCAGCTTTCGTAAGATTGAAAATTATGTTTCTTTGTAAGTGTTTATCGAATAAAAAAAATCGAGGTTTACGACGTTTATAATCATAGTTATATATTTTTTTGAAAGTTGGAACCTCAATAACATTTTACACCTGGTTCTTGTGTGTTATTATTTTTTTATTATATTAAACTCGTTTCGGAACCAGCCTAAAACGCAATGCCAAGCCTTTTGTTTTTAACAGAATCGAAAACAAAATTGTATAAACTAGCATAACACTTTCGAATATCCTTGAATAAATTTCCTGAATACTGACTAAAAACTAAACTCTGTGCGGTGAATATTTATTTAAAAAATACAAAATATTTCTATATTATTTGCATAATGCTGATGGGAACACCAGTTTACGATACCACTTTATTTACTTTCTTCTGTGTATTCGCCCTCTTTTTGGTCATAAACTCCTCCATGGTCGGAATACGCGGAGAGTTTTTTTCAGAAACATATTTTCCTTCCTTAGGTTTTTTCTCTGGCTTTTCCGATAACTTTGGCTTGTTCCTTTCAATCAACTGATTTCGGCGATACTGATCCAAATAAATCAAAAACTCTCTAAAAGTAAAATACGTTTTGTCTGGTCCATTCCAATTTCGAGCTGGTGGTTCTTGTAGTCCTAGTACTGTGTTCCAATGCTGAAAGTCCTCATTTTCTTGGCCATACCAATACTTAATTATAACATATCTGGAAATCGAAAATTAAATATATTATCGAATGGTGAAGACGTTAGATGCGACTCGCAACTAAACTAAAACTTTTCAATACGTAAAATTAAAAAAGTACTGTTACTTTTGAAATGCCGGGATTTCTAATTTGCATAAATTCTTTAAAGGCTGCTTAAAATATAACTTAGCAGATAATTTGTTAGAACATCTAAAAAGCAAATCGTTAATGTTGTGAATATTTAAATATTGTCCATCGCCTTGTAATAATTTATTGTAGGAATGGTATTACTTACGCAAGCCCATCGTCAATCATTTTGCATATTCTCAAGTCTTTAGCCAAATCCATAAAATCTGGATTTTCGGGATTTCTTTTGATGTCGACCAGTTGCCAAGGAGCGATATTTCCAAATCGTATACAGTCGAGAACTTCGTACTTATACTTATCCCTGTTTTGCCAGTCGTGTTTCAGCCAACGAACAGCTGACATGAAAATTTCCATTTCACTGAAACAAATTAGCATTTTTCAGCTAAATGTGTTTCTTAATGAGTCAGATATTAACTATGATTTAAATTTTTTTTGCAACTGGATTATTCGTTTGAATGTTACATTTTCTCATTGTTATTGTTTAAGATTCACAAAAGTACTTGATATGTTCTTATCAGACCTAACGCAAAGAAAACAAGTATTCGCACATGGCGATGTATGATTTTGTCTACAGGTCTATAAATTTACAGTTCTTTTAATCAAACAACTTAGATAATTAATTGCTCTTTGAAAATTTGCTCAAAATAATTTACTTTGCGCTATTTGTCATCAAATGGGTTTTCTTATATAATTGTAATGTATCCTGTTGTGTTAAATATATAATGTGTTAAATATATCCCAATTCAAAATCAATTAGCGTTTAATCGAGTCTACAGGTTGGCCATTCATATCCCTGTGTTTCCATTCCTACGGCTATTTACTGCTGTAAATAGGCATTGCAACTTTTCCGAAAATTGGTTATGACACGTACGATTCGGATTATTATCATCGGATCGAAAATCAACGAAAATTAAATTATGATCTAAATAAATACCTAAAACCGCATTTAATTGAATATTACCAGACCGCATTTGCAAGCAGGTATCAGTGCAAGTGTTAAGAAAAAAATATATATATTTGTGGCATAAGTTTCAAATATTTATTAGAAAATAAAGTACACATGATGAGGTTATGAATGGAATAAGACATCGGGCAAATGACCTCCTCGGCTTTGCTGGCACAGACGTGCCCTACTCATGAAATTTTCAAGAACTGTTGCGCATAAATTTTGCGCTATTTCACAGATACAGCGTTGAATTTCATCTTATAAGGCGTCAATCATTGTTGGTTTCTTTATATAAACTTGTGACTTTAAAGACTTTTACCTTTTTAGCCACTTTTACCCCAAATAAAAAGGTCCAAAGGCCTTAAATTACATGATCTGGCCGGCCAATTCCGATCTTCAAAGCGAGAAATAACACGACCAGGAAATGACTCGTGCAGCAATTCAACAGTTCCTCTGACTGTATGGCATGTTGCACCGTCCTTTTGTGAAAGTGAACAATATGGTATTTACATGAACATATCCAAAACTCATATCCTAGTCTTCTCCAAAATACATAAAATTGAACCTTGGCCATAAAAGGCAAAGATGTAGAGCACGGCTCTTCGTTTAAATGCCTGGACCTCGATAGATCAGGACTGTGACCCTAAAAGTGGAATCAAATTCCAAATTGGAGCTCAAACATGCATGCTCCGTTGTATGTATTATCTGTCCTTCTATACGGCAGTGAGAGCTGCACTCTTGACCCTTGATCCAATAACGGAGAAGAGAAGCGTCACATTTCAGATGTATCTAGGACACAGAAGATAACCAATATAGAAGTTCTAGATCGCGAGATATCTAAGACTCTAAAAGTCTGGGTGGCAGCTTGAAGAAGATATTTGTTATTGTGAAGTCTATTTTTTGCAGAACTGTACCAATGTCTCTCCTCTTTTATTTCGCACTCCCAGTCCATGTCCTCCAACCACATCTTCTTCCCTTTCACTTTCAACCTTCGCATTAAAGCTCGCAATAAGTAGATTACTTCTTCCTTCGAGTGTGTTTTAGGGTCTCTCTGATATCCGTATAGAATTTGTCCAGTTCTGCATTGGTTGGTGCGTAGCATTCACTTTACAGGGTTTTGCATTGATTTTCCGTAAGGCCACTCTATCGGACACGGGTAGGAATCCGAGCACAGCTTCGTCGACATCTTTGTTGACTATTATGGCGACGCCCTTCCTATACCAGAGTAGTATTTCGGAGGATCCCGGCCATCGCATTTTGCCGACCTCCAGAATGTCCACTTCAAGCCGTCCTATTTCCTTGAACGCATTTGCCGCCTTTCCTGCCTGAAAAAAATGTTTCGGACATTCCATGTGCCCATTTTCCTTTGTGTCTTGGCTTTTAGGATACCGGCTGACCGGGAAATTATTCGCACCTCTCCATAGCGGTTATCGCACCACTCAAGGGGTGCCGGGGCGTTGTTTACTTTGCTTTCAACCATAATAAGTATCCTGGGGAAGTTTGTACCTAGGTTGTTTCCCGTTGCTTTCCTAGGCTAAAGATCAGCCGTCTATTTTGGGTCAGACGCTGTCGGAGTACGGCTCCTAACCTGGAGATCCGTCGTGTCCTTTGCTAGTTTTGGTCCGTCTCGAGTATTTGATTTTCCTGATACTCATCTGAGAGGCTTCCCCTATCCGCCACCTGAGGAGGCGCTCGATGGAGGACTAGAAACCTCACATGCGATGCTATTTAGATACCGATATTGTGTCTTGTTGCCATTTTGAAAGTCTACTTTGTTCTTGTTAAAACAAGCTTTCCAAAATGCTTGCCCGTAACTTCTAATACGTCTTATGTTTAAATTATAGCCATTGCAAGTGTTACGTTACTCTTTGCATTTTTTATTGGTTGGACTCCAAATACTTTTCCAAATTCTTCTTTCTCATCAGCCGAATCGTCTGTTAATTACAACACATACGGTGGTCCTACGAAACGACCTACACGACACTAATCGGCGCTAATCAGAACTTTTTTGAATTACTTTTTTCAATTGTATTTATTAACTCTAATCAGATAACGAAAAACCACTCACCAGTTGACTGCAATATAATTTGACTTGAGCAAATTTTTTATATCATCCACTTCTAATTCGAGCCAGTCCTGCGAGCTGACCAACATTAGGAAAAATAGTTGAATTCTGGGCAGCATCAGTTCCTTTACTTCTGGTAAATTTCGTTTTTTCGCGTCCATGTAAAGAAGGAAGGCAGTGTCCTCGTTGAAGACGTCAACGTTATCTATGAATGCCCAACATTGTTCCACTAAATCTGAAATGTGTAATTGTTTATTGTAAGGTTTAACAATGAAACAGGGTGATTCATTTACAGTGGAAGATCCAGAACCTGAAAATACTACACATCAAAGCCATTAGCGCATAATGATGGCCATTAGCTCAAGAATTTCTTAGCAGAAAGTTGATGTTTTGAACCAAAAAAGGTATTATTTTTCGGAGATGGGCAGTGTTAAACCGTAATTTTAATTAGGTATCTTGCCATTATTCTGAAAATATTTGGAATAGAGAGTTTGCTGTGTATTTTTAGATGACGCTTAAGATACGCAAGATATTATCTAAAGCACAACTTGCGAACAATTTTACCGATACTTAGATTAATAACGATCTATACTCGTATCTTTTCATCCTGTACCTGTAGCATCCAACCTAGCTGAAACCTAAAAAAGCAATAATTTCTACATCAATTGAATATCCTTGTTTTATATTCATAATTCGGTCCCTTGTCCAGAAAAATCGATTCAACAATCGTAATATTTATTTACAAAAACAACTAACTGATTTTACACAACGTGTTGTGAGAGATCTTCCGGTTTGAAACCACGTAAAGGGATTTCAAATCAGAGGTTTCATTTTGATATAAAGAAACGATTGTTTTTTTAAAGAGATATCAATGAATATTTATTTCATTGTAAAGAGTACGGTATGTCATTAACATTTGAAAAGGATATCAGCCAAATGGCCGCCATGGCTATGCTTGCAGCACTATGTCCTTTTAACGAAATTTTCGATAACCGATTCACACATTTGCGGATGTATGTAAACGATAACTTCACGAATTTTATCTTTAAGGTCTAGAATCGATTATGGAGCATTGGCATAGATCTTATCTTTCACGTGACAGCAACGAAAAAAGTCTAAAGGTGTTAAATCACAAAATCTCGGTGGCCCATTGTGATCATAACACCGCCAGGAAACTTTTTTTGCAAGATTGCGACTGTTTTGTTGCTTGCGTGGCACGTAGCGCCGTTTGGCTGAAAATAAACGTCGTCTACATCAATATTAAACATAGATCGGAAGCGCAAGCCACCGTAACAGTTGCACCAGCCTCACTTTTAAAACAATAAGGTCCAATCACACCGCCAGCCCAAAAACTGACTCAAATGTCAAAAGATGACAGCTTCAAAATGGATAGCTGGCCAAACAGCAGGCCATTCACAATGAAACCTCTTATTGGAAAACTCTTTATTAGGATTCATTCTGCTTATGTGGGCAGAGAACTGTATTTTTTGCGAATAGTTCCATTGTATGATAATCTGCCCACTTGAAGTGTTCAATTATCAAAAAATTACAGCGGTAATTACACGGTATGCAATTATCACTCAACGATAATTTAATTGTTTACAAAAAGATGTCAGTGGTGTTTTTTCTGTTGAATTAGAACAAAAAGTCATCCAGCCATTCAGCAGTTCTTCTCAACATATTTAATAAAAATGTAAGTAATAAAATGAAAATGGTAATAAAATACAATAGTAATAAAATGAAACCACATTTACTTTGTTTACTCAGGAAATATTCATCAAAATTACACTCCTGCATCAAAATAAACATACAATTTTGCTTCGAGCTTTTTGTCGTATAAAATCTTCATTCGTTTATTTTCATACTAGAAAGAAAAACGCCATAATATGAAAACAAACTCATGAGTTTTTTAGCAACAAGCTTTCATGCAAAATTATCGGTTATTTTGAAGCACTTGTCCAATTACCCCCGATAATTCTATATGCAAGCCAATAAACTCTGTAAACTTTATGTTTTATTTCAGACCAAATAATAAATTCAGAGGGTTAGTCCGGTCTTCTGGGCGACCAAGCAGTATCAATCCAACGATTCCGAAAAATTGTGACTAAATAGGCACGCACGCAAATAGCCGATAAAAATTTAATACAGCTCTAGTTTGCATAAAGCAACATTATTTCCGTTTCATAGAACTAGGTACTAACAGTAATAAAATGTGTTCCAGTAGGAACGCCGGGTTTCAGGTTTAATTAAACAATATACAGGGTTGATCATTAGTGCGTCAATGTGCAATGACTCACTAAATATGAATTTTGCAAGAAAATGTTTGCTACAAATGTATTTGGTGTTTACGAGGTGTGAATTAGTAAAATATTTTCCAACATACGGGGTGTTGGGAAATGAGTAAATAAGATCTATTTGTCTCTCCTGCCAACCACAAAAGTTAGTCTAGGGGGCGATGTGACAATTCGTTTTTTATTTTAAGCTGTATTTGTTTCTAGTAACTAAGGTAATTGAAAAAAAAACAAACAAGACGTGTGTAGAAATAACGTTCTGAGCAATATACATTTAATTTTGCCGACAATCGGGTTTTAATTCGTCGGTTGGGTGCATTCATATACTTAAGTCGGTGTTGGGAGTGCCATCTCAGATAGGGACGCGCACGAAGAAAATAATACAAAAATGCAGTCCACTTAATCATTCATCGACACGAGGTATGTCGTAAACGTGGGTTAGTATTCAACTATGGGTATTTTAATGAAACCCCCTATTTTTATCCTTTGTATTCTTCCACTAAGAACTGATTGGGAGATTAGGAAAAAATTGTGCCAGGGGTGGTTGAAAATAGAACAAATGACACGAAACGTTTTCGTATGTATATGATTCGCAGACGGGTCTGTGTAAGGTACCTACCTCACAATGGTAACCCAAATCGTCATAATTTTGTCCATTGTGCAATTGCGATTTTATAGATAGGTCACATTTCCTCTACAAACAATTAAGTGATACTGCATATTTTTTACAAAATGATTTGCCCGAACATGAGGAGGTTGTGTGCACTTTGCGATCAGGACATCAAGTTCCGAAACTATATAAATCGATAATCTGAAGGTAGATAGATAGGTCCAGACGGTCGAGTATCTTGGCCACCAAGAACGCCAGAATTAAAAAATCGATTTTTTAAAGTCTGACTGAAATTGCGCAAGATATAACAAAACCTGCAAGGTGAAAACTGCAGAAGACAAGACGGATAATTCATGTGCTTAGAAATGATCCAAGTATTGAGATGTTACGAAAAGTAAATAGGTCTTTCCTCCTGGCACAATTACCCAATACCTGTCAACAAAATTTGGAACAGTTTGCCCGATTAATTATCTATAATTAATGACAAATTTAAAATATTAAACTTTTAATTAATGCCTTTTCCGTCCTATCAAACTAACCCACATGTTCCCCCTAGAGCATTTTTTAGAGAGGAGGAATTGCATTGATCACACCAAGGTAGTGTCGGAGTCGCCCCGACTAAAACCTCCTTTCATGACATCTCATTTTCCAACAGCCGCGCGAGCATAACTTCGGGAAAAGTGAACTGTTATTCCAATCAACCTATATTTGTGTCTTTAGTTTCACGTTCTTGTACGATATTCCGTACAAGAGTATCCGTTATATCCTTATCCTGGCTAATAAGCATGAACTCCACACAATTATGGGTAGTTAAGGTGACGCCCGCTGCCTTGTGTGGTGCGTCTATTAACAGTCTCCGCTTTTCGCAGTGAAAGAACACATGTCTTTCGTCTTCAACTCATGCTCATTTTTTAGTATCCGTTGTTTATTTTCGGTTACTATCTCCCAGTCGGTGCGATCTCTTATTTCTTTGCCAATTTGATACTGGAGGCATCTCTTTTTAATTTGGAAGTAAAGGGCGGAATTCCGGCTAGCCCCAATTCAGCTTCCATAGACACAGCTCGAAAACTGAAGCATATCCTACGTTATACCCCTGCCACGAGTCTTCTGTATTTCTCCTACTTGATGGCTTGGCTCCATATCGGCACTGCATACAGGAGAATCGAATGTGCCACGTTTGCTAAAGTTTTCTGGTCCTGGCTGATTTGGATCCGCCTAGGTTCGCTTAGTGCTACTAATGGTTTTTCAGTTTTGAGGCTACATGCCTTTATGTTCCGTCATTTTACAGTTGTGATCGAATACTACTCCAAGATATTGCAGCCGCAATGTTGTTTCTACCGCTTTATTTTCTAGTTGCAAACTGGCTCTTTTAAAATTCCCAGCTCCATAGAGTATTGGGGCTTCGGTCTTCTCTGCTGCCAGTTTCAAGCCTTTCTTGTGGTTCTCCGCCGACAGTTTGTTGTTGTTACTGACTAGCTCCAGCTGTGCTTTTGCTCTGGTTGTGTCATCAGCGAATCAATGATAGTTGTTCCATAAGATAGGTCCCAAAATAGCACCCTGTGGCTCTCCAAACTCCATTTGCATGCTCCGTCTTAACAAGTATATATTTTTCTGAGAGATAAATAGATAAATAAAGAGCATATATTTTAACACCAAAATATGCAGATTCAAACGTTTGCTCTTGTAAAGAATGAAAAAGAATGAGATTGAAAGTTCTAAAGTTAAGTTGACCAGTTCTGAAATAACATGAGCACTGAGCTGTAATAAAGGGTGTGTACGCATTAACACACCGGTCAAGTTAAGTCATAGCTTTGTTCTCAATAGAGGAACTACATTTCGAAATGTTGAAATATTCGCAACTCGTCTAATTGCTGATTTTATAGATCTATTCATAAAAATTTGCCATATTTTGTTTTTGCTTTTACTTACATGAGTAAATTTCTGATTTAGAATCTTGCAGATATTTGAATATTTGCTTGAAAGTGTATTTTCTGTTCTTTTTTTCAAAATTTCCCTAGATAATTGTGTTAACACAATTAGAGAAGCTAACCAATTATACATTACTTACATATGAAACCTGGCACTGGCTAGATATATGCTAGGTCAATTTAATATTTAACTTTAACTCACCTTTAATTTTCAAGTACTTTGTTGAAATAAATATGTCAAGAACATTCTCTCTGCTTAGGTGAACATAGGAGGGTTCTCCGGTTATCATCCAGTCGTAAATGAAAGAAAACGCAGCCACACTGCACTTGTCCTAAAAATGTAATTGTCGAGATTTGCAGTACATTAATATTAACGTAAAACTCAAAACTTTCGCATAATGTGAGCAGACAAATATCTTAAGAGGAAAATACCAATATTTTATGGCGTAATATGTATTATTTTCTTAAGCTTTGTTCATTAAACAATATACTTTGATGTATTGTATTGGAGTTTTATTAGTATATTTTTCAAGTAGGTACATTTATACTTCTTTTATTATTACAAAAACGTGATTATTGAATTTAACTCAAAAAAACACTCAGAAAACAATAACTGACACTTTCCCAAGCACCAAATAAATACCGAGGTAGGGCGTTCCTACCACGTTTGTACGATACACACAGCACAAGGAGATACAAATGGAGCACGAGTTAATTAACTGAATACGAGAAGCTGCTTGATAAGAATGGATAATAAGGAGATTACATAGGCACTAGCTTGTTTGCAGTTAACTATTCAAATGTTTGGTGTTGTATGTATTATTTATGTAAACACCAAACCCCGCAGAATTCGAGGTTATGAGAACAGGTTGACATTTCGAAAGTACGTTGCACAGTCAACAAATCTTGTTGAGTTTTCCGTTTATCCTTGTCTATCTTATTGTCACTCTGTATACTTCCATGGTTACCGGAGTTTTTAATAATTACGAAGCAGCAAGTATTTGCGCAATGTTAATTAGGCAGATTACCTTGAAAAACATTGCTGCCGTATTTCTGATATAGTTTTTTGGAAATTTCTCAGTTTTTAATAACAATTAATTTATTTTACTATTTTTTCTGTACTCGTATAATATGGGGTGATACAGGTGAATCACCCTGTATAGTAGCATTGACAGTAAGTATTGAGTTTAAAATTTTTCGACACCTACCAGAAATAATCAACATTTGTTAAAGTATTTCAACAATTTTGAGAATTTGAAAAAGATGCACTTGTGTAAGGCAACTTAGAGACAATTCCATTTTTTTCAGAATTTTTAATAGCGTATATTTAACAGGAATCCTATATTAATCGTGCAGGACTGCCACTACAATCTGAGAGAGAACAAAAACGATCCCGAATCAATTGGATGTTCAAGCGGGTTGCAAATTAAGCCTGTGTCCCATGCATCCGTTTATACGATGGTACGATGATACGAAATTGTTTCTATTGGTTGGAGATCTATCAATTCGGCCGCCGGTGTACGAAAATGTAGCGAAATATTCGCGAGTTGCTTAAAATGTTCGTGCTCTAACTCACCGATGGCAATTCCACTTTCTTCACTGCAACATAAGCATCGAATAATTCGGAATAACACTGAAGCACTATTAAATGGCAATTAAATTCTTCATTGTCAATATACACTTTACAATCTGCATTTCTAAAATATTTAATAGTGTTTGAAATTAAGGCATTGTGGACTGATTTTACGGAACTATCTATTTATTTATACTGATACGTACGTGTTATTCGTGATCCGGTGATACAATTCCAAATATAAGTTTTGCTTTTCGGGTAACTTTACTTTTTCCCAACTGATAACATCTGATCCACTATATCCTAGTCGGCCCAAGTTTAATTCAGGGTCTAAAATTTCACTAGTTTGCTTGCTTTCGTATTCGGATGCCTCTTTGGTAGGACTTCGAATTGGCGAATTTCCTATCAGAGATCCTAATGATGAAAATCCGCCAGCCTTAAAATATACGAACTTATTGTTTAAATAGAGTTTTAAATACATTTTATTAGTAGAAAGGGCCAGGTCAGTAAATAGATTAATTATTAATTCAGAAAATTTAGATATCCAGTAAGATAAGTATCCATTCCATCCAAACAGATTTAATTTATATGATCATTTAATATGATCTCATATTTTATATGACTCATATGATCTATTAGGTTTGGCCTAGTTAATACCACCACAAATTTTAGTTTAATGTGAAATTTATTTTGTTTAAAATGTTCCACTCCAAGATAAACGTTAACACTCCCTATTTGTGTCTAAACCATATTCTAGGATTATTCCCCGATATTTAGAAATATCACTGTTTCGTTCTGCCCACATGGGGTTGTTATACTTTTGTAGGTAAATGTCTATTCTATACCTACCCACGTTCATTCTCCAAAAAGCAATTACGGTTGCTTTTAATGATCTTTCTGAGATTTGTGTGATTGGTCACACTTCTGATCAAGTTATTGTTCTTTTCAATAGTTTTAAGTATTATGTTCGTGTGTCATATGTGTTTTTATATTTTTATTCCATAGATATCTGTCTATGACTAACGTTTTCTTTGACTGTTTCATCTATTGACAGATCTCGTGATATGCCTGTCTGAATACCTGCTTGTATGTTCTGGAATACTTTTTTGCTTGATATTTTTAAGTGCTAATGAGTTTGTGATTGTAAACTCATTATTTCGAAGTCTTACTGATTCTTTCGAATTGATATCTTCTTTAAATGTTCAATTATTGTTTAAAACTCCCACTTAATTGTATATTTTTATTAACTTCTTGTCCAGTGAGTCAGATCTTCATTGACATGTGTCTGCTGTACGTATATTTTTATTTGGGTCACCTAGCAGACCTACCTGACTCATAAGCGTTTCCATTGGGGTATGTGAGTTTTTGGTAAAATCTGCGTGATCGTGTTGAGCCATTTCCAATGAAGGTTTAACACTCACCGGTTCTGGATCTATATTAACCTTAGTATTCTTTGGATCAGCAACAAGAACACTCAATTTTTTTGAAGAAAAAACAACCTGAAATTAATTTTGTCAAAGGGTTTTCATTTCTAACTTCGTTAATTTCATAAAGATATCTCCATTCTAACCTGAGATGATTCAACTTTCAGTTTACCACTTGGAGTTACTTTAAACGGAAAGCTATTTTTTGAGTCCACAGTTTCGGCGTTCAGACTAAAATTATAACAAACATTACCAAATTAAGGCTCACACAATGCCAAGATTTTATAAAAAAAAGTTGGGCAATCCGCTTAAAAAGCGAATTTAACGTAAATATAATTTCGAGAACAAGTTGATACCGGCAAGGAATATTGCATATTCACCACCGACACAATGGAATCACTGAGCGGGGTAGAAAGACTGATGGAAAAAATTAGCAGACCACCTAAACATTTTCGCATATATTTATATTACATTCAACATATTCCTAAGTACGCTGATGAATATAGCAACGATAGTCCCAATGTACACTTCTAGTTGTTTCGTTTCTTTCATAATCATTACAGGGCAAGTATCTGATTGTTTTTTACCATTACAATATTGCACCATTGTTTTCGTCTACGGTGGTATTGTAAAATTATTAAATGTTGCAAATTTCGAGTTTTAAATTAAGTTCCTAAACAAGTAGTCAAGTTAAGAAAAAAAACGTTTAAGCCCACACTGACACTCGACGGCGACTCGGACTGACACTTGACGGTTGTCTTGAGTAAACTATCAGATGCATCCTTAGAAACGGCAATGTGCGATACTTACGAACGGCTCAATATCAACAAATGGGTATAGAACATGTTATACCAAATTTTCCATTTAAAAATGAAAAGTGTGACGTAGTATCTTGTTTATGAAACACCCTGTATAATGCAGAGATGGTCAGCAAGACGTCCCCTTAAAAATGAATGTTGACGTGTTTGAACATTTTTTTCTAAACCTACCAGGAGAGTCATAAATAGGGGTGCGATCTTTTCGTTGGCCCAGACTGTATGTTCCACCTTCATAATTTCTCTTATTCAGGCATTAGATATTCTTGCCATCCTTGAGTTCCCGGCCGGTCTTCGCCAGAAACCCATCTCCAAACCAAAAGATGTTTCCCTAGGGCTATTGTCATTTGCCATCTTTCACAGGCATACATTACTACATCTTTTAAGACGGAATTATAAAGAAGATGTTTCCTTTCATAAGGGATTTGGTTTAGACAGCCTATACCTTTCCCCGCTTTATGATTCTTAGTTCAATTTCACTATCTGTACGTGCTGTTTTGTGAATTTGTGTTTATTGTATGACTACTATAGGTATTTCTATTTATTGTATGACCGACCCTATGGCATCGTTGTCATTTAAGTGCACTTCCTCTGACGCTGTTCTAATACACAAATATTTGGTTTTTTTCTTGTTTACCTGTAGTCCCCAATCTTCATACTACTTGAGAAGCCTGACTGTCATGAATTCCTGATCTTTCTTGTCCTGTGCTATCACCACTTGATCGTTAGCGAAGTATAGCGTATATAGCGTTTTTTTGTCGTTTATTTGTACTCCCATTATTTCACTCTAGCTTCTACTACATTTTTAAAGCTTCATTTAAATATATTTCGATACATATACATATCCTCTCTGATATGTTATTTCCTATTTTGTCTGCGATGTAGCTTGCTCATAAAGTTTTTTTATTGCTACTATACCTGTTGTCGTTTATGGATGACCTTTCTAGTTCTGCAACGGAACAGTGTCATATGAATTTGTGAGATCAACTAACAGCAGAGTGATCGTCTCTGTTTGTTGCTTCTTTTTTCTCATTTAGCTGAGTGAAACAAAAAATGTGGTCTACACTAGATCGGCATGCACGGAATCACGCTGGTTTTTCTATTTCGCTAAATTGCTCATCTGAAGAACAGTTCTTTCAGGAGTTTATTCAGCTTGTTTGTCCCATGCCTTAGCAGCTCAGCAGGTAGTCCTTCCGGTTCGGGGGCTATTTTTATGTTTTAAGCTTTTAATTGCCCGATCTACTATATTTTCATTCACATCTATATGATGTTCTTGAATAATGTATGGCGTGGGTGAGCGTGTGAGATATTGCATTTCGTCCTCCCTTCGTTCCCTAGAGCAGTGTTGTTTCCACTGATCCATCTGAATTTGTTGAATATTTATTTTGACTGTATTAACTTGTTTTAAAGTTCTGATCAGTTTCCACACGTCCGATGATCTTGTTCCGCTAATATAGTTGCCTACTCCTTTCCCTTTTTTCTCCCATGTTTCGTTTTTTTCTGGTAATAAAATCTTTGAATTTGGCTTGTTCTTGCTTATACAAGTTATGAGCATTTTTTATATTCGGTTATTTCTTAAATGCTTTCTGTTTTATGTTTATTTGAACTTCTGAAGTTCTGAATTCCACATTATGTTGGTCCTTTTTTAATCCAGACAGAGTGCAATGGCTCCACTATATGCTGATATAAGTGGTTTCTAGTTAAGACTATTCTGTTCAATTAATTTTTGATCTAGGCGATTCTGAAATATCACCCTAGTGCTGGGTTTATACCGGCCAACAAGGTTATACGTGCACTGCTCTATTTTATGTTCGGCCGGAGAAAGGTCAGTTCGGTATTGGCCAGTGTTGAATTTAATTCTAAACTTAGAAATAAGTAGATACTGATTTGTGTCACTTATTGACTTGCCAGTTAGTGTCTTGCTTAATAACTATGTAATCGATGATACCTCTGAGTATCCTAGTGCCTTGACGCCAGATGTATTTGTGGATATCCTTATGTTTGAAAAATCCGTTCAGTATCTTAGGTGTGTGTACTTCGCATCACTCAAGGAGTCGCTGCCCGTTGTTCTTTACACTGAAACTTCCAACTATATTGCTATCCCATCTCGTTCCACATTGGCATTAAGATCTCCTAGAATAATGATTTCCCTCTGATTTCCGAGATTGGTCAGATCCACTACAACTCCTTCATTTAGTGTATACCCATGTTGTGGCTTTTGTTGATATTTGCTTGCGTCTATTGCTGCTCTTCGGTCTTTGGGTACCGCAATATATAGATGTAAGTAGTCAGACTGTTGTTCTATTCTACTTCCCTTTTTTTTTGTTTCTGTAACTGCAGTTATATCAATGTTCAATTGTTCTAACCCTTTTAGAACGTCTTCAAGCTTTCTGTTGCGCCCTTGAATATTCCATGTTCTGCAAATCATGTCCTTGTTTCGATGCTGTGGTTGTCTCCGTGTTTTTTGGTCCAAATTGCAAGGACTAACCCAAAATGTAGAAATGTGTTCCAAAATAGTAAGGAGAAGTTTGAATGAATAGGGATTGGATGCAAACAATATCTCAAATGGTCTCTCTTAACCGAAGTCCGCAAACAAGCTGAGATTGAGATTGCAAGAGACTATTTGGGTTGGGATTTGGATAACTGGATTGGTAAGCTTTTACCTGGAGAACACCAGAAAACAGATACAACCGTATGTATGTATGTATCGTTCTCCAGTCGGCTTTCCGAGATGACTCGGTAATGTTTTGAGTTGACAATTCTTCGGAGGCCCGGCACGATGTTGTAGCAGTACGAGGAAGATCCATTTACCTCTCAAAGGTACATCCAAAAAAGTAATGAAACATGTCGCATCTTTTGTACCTTACATAGACGATATTTTTTTGCTTCTTTGAGCTCTCAACTCTCTAATCTGAACCGGAAGGAACATACCTGGGACCAGGTGAAAGAACGTATGCTGATTGGTTAACTTGGATACTTAGGACCTTGACGAATAACACTACATACTGAATGAATTAATTACGAATCTTTTTCATGACATTTCAAGTCGATTGTGGGAATTGGTTCTAGTTAGAAGCTAGCTTCAAAAACGGTTAACACTGGGACCTTTAGTTTATTTTTTATTATTAAATTTTACTCATTCTTAAAAATTTCCGAAAAATCTGATAAACCAGTGCTGGTTTATTGCTGTTCGGTTTCTATTACATATTTTTGAGAACATTCGAAACACACATTTTGAATTTTATTTAGATGTTTTTGGTTTTTGCTAAAGTTTAAGTCCTGCGCTAATTTTCTCCATCACTGTACAAGTTCGTGGAATTGGAAAGCATATAATGCAAAATATAATTTGAATGTTTCAAAGCTCAAACCGTTTTTAATATTTTTTATTATCTGGCAATCTAAGGTAGAAACGGAAAAGATGTTAACCTTAGCAAAATCAATTTTTTATCAGACTTATTTGATTTATAAGATCACATTGAAAAATATTTTTAAAGATAATGTTAGCCGTTAATTTAGGAATAGAATTATTCATATTGTAAGTAACAGGGATTTAGAGATTATCATTGGTGAATCTGTGAATTTAGAATGTGGATTTACTAAACAGTCGAAATTTAAAACATCAAAACGTAAACTTCAATTAGCTTTATACACGGGGAAAACTTACAGTACTAGTATTACATCTGCGTAATAAATCCAATGAGCCTAAATAAGCATAAAACAGTAAAAATATTATAAAATAAAATGTTTTATCTTGGAGCGTATGTGAAAAATGTAAATTACCAATGATTCCTTTCCGTCGTTTTTCCTGTTTTCCAGTATTCTGTCGGTCTAGATCCAAGTTTTTTTTTAGAGGGATACAAGAAATCGTTTTGATTTATCGGTGCAGTTTGGATAACTTTTTTACTGCCGTCTTTCGAATATATTAAAACAACGTCCTCCGAAGAAAGACCCCTTTGTGCTTTTTTGTATTTCGGTCTATTTTCATATCCTAAATAAAAACCGGAAACAATTTGTTTTATAAATTCTGGATTCAATATTTGCCCATGTTTTTGGCCACTCTTTACCACGACCTTACATCTGTTAATATAAGAAATGTTTTTTAGAATCTAAATTTTTAAAATAAAGTCACATTTAAAAATGTTGGACTCAACAGCATGATTTGCCCCTTTACATAGATAAACCTAGGAATGTATATTTACCTCCTGGATTTCTATGAGGACCAGCTTTGAGTTCGTAGCGAATATCTTTGCTTTGAAGAGAATGGCAATTCTGAAACCAAAAGGTAAATATGTATATGAAAGAAGGGTAAAACGCACTGTAGCATGAGTCATTTGCTATCTATAATATACAGATGAGATTGAAGTTCAACAGATTGTTGAGTCCAAGAGTAGATGGCATTTTATTATACAAACACATGTGCGAAAAAACTCTCTTCGACCGTAACTAGGGAGATAAACCAGCATCAGCTCAAAGAAAACAAAAACTATGCGAAGACAGACAAACGCACAACTTACAACATAAATCGAAAAAGTCTTATCAACGCCTAGCGAAACTTTTGCTGGGTGGTGACAAAAACGGCAAAAGCACCAAAAGCCCCCGGATTCAATAGTCACAATCAAATAGTTTTGAAGATACCTGTACTAATCATCGAAAAAATCCATCAAAAATTTACCGAAACTGGGAACTGGCACTTTTATACCTTGCACGATATACAGAGTGGTTTTTTAGTGCGATAGAGTGCATTATTTCCCATGGTGTTAAACGTTGGAAAAATAGTTTCATAGAAAAGTTATTGGCGCACAAAGTGCGCACATTTTAAAAATATGTTATATTATACAGAGTGTCTGCGAAAAGCCAGGCAAGATCAAAGTGTATTTTTTTAAATACAACCACCCATTTTTCATCAGCTCATGGAATGCAGCTTGAAACGCTGCATATGCACCGTAAATTGTTTTTTTCTTACTTGCGAAGTTGACAGATTATCGCCAGTTTAGTAAAATTTTGCTTAAAAACATGGTATCTAAAAATTAATTGTAGTAGCAAGAAAAAAGCAGTTAAAGATACAAAAAAATACTTCTTTCCAATCACCACAGATCCGTTAATAATACTATTTAACCAAAATATCAATACATTGTACAGGGTGTTAACAATGTGAACTTCAATCTAAAACTTTTTAACGCAATATAACTTTTGTTTTTCAAATAGAAGTACCTGTATATTAGTACGTCATTAGATAGCCAATTTACAAATTTGCATTTACACTTTAAGCTGTGAAATCAAAGGTTCAACACCCACGGAAATAATGGACTCTCTCGCACTAAAAAAACAACCTGTAGGTGCATAAGTAGTGCAACAGTAAGAACCGTCGAATTTGAAGAACAGATCCTTAACAGAGTTGCAAATAAAACTTGGATTCGTATTCGTTAAATTGCAGAAGCTTAAGTTTTCATTTTTTGTTTTATGAACAGGATGACGCCAGTTTTATACGAGACAGCATATAAACTATAGTTAAAGCCATTTTTGGGCCCTGAAAATTTAACGTGCGATAGTTGCTGAAATGCAATCAATTTCTATAAGTGGTATTGTCTACTTAAATATTGAATTTAAACGCAATAAATCTCCACAAAACACATCTTTGCATATCGGAATCTTCGGGGCATTAGTTCTTGTGTGCGTCAAGCGGTATCTTATTGTACGTGTTTATTTTTTTGTTGCTAATCTTGATAACCGGTAAAACTTTTTAAACTGCCACAAATTGTTCACACAGAAGTAGATTTGCACACGACTAGCTTTTGCGATAAAAGGATGTCCGAAATCAATTACCCGGCGCAAGTTTATTACGATCGCTAGATGGCGCAAAGCTATGTAGTATTTTTTGACTGAAATGATTATTACTTAGGCTGAGTACAATTACTTCGTGTAAACGCAACAGATCCAGGTTTTAGAACCTAAGATAATTTATGAAAAACCGTACCTCGTTCACGTACATTTTGATTTCAAGGATACATTTTTGCCAAATTAAGCTGCCTCTAACTGCAACTCATTTAGCAGGAGAGTGTTCAATCCTGAAATATGATGTGGAAAGAGGGTGGATATCCCCTAATTTGAAAGATCATTTCATGTAGCTACTTCAAGATCCTACTCATTGAGTTGCTGGGCGAAATGAATTCCTTGCGATTTGAATTCGAATTTCTTTAAAATTGTTTGAATGCAATTTGGCTTAACAGAAGACACTGTCTGCTATCGTCTCATACTTAATGTACTTGTAGGATTTTGCAAAACGTGTCCCAACACAGCCTCATTTACTACCGTCTTCTGCTTACGGGACCTACCCAGATTCACGACAATTTCGTTCAATTAACTACAGAATGTATTTTCGATTGACATAGTGGTGTTTATTTAATTCATTGAAAATTAGGGCTGTTCGATCAGCATCTTTAAGATTCGATAAACGAATGCAATTATTTATACCTTTTGGGCGATGAGTTCAAAAGTATCACTAGATAGTAGGATATAAAGCCCTACTTAAATCACTCAATTTTTTATTGAACACAAGCAAACTACAAGCAACTTGTTTCTCATAATTGAATAAACTTTATGTACAAAAGTGAATTTTTTTTTGAAACCAAGAATTGTTTGTTTTACGTTGATTCTTGCTTCCTCGGAAAAATGAAGCGTGTGCAAAATTTTACGTAAATAAATTTAAAAAAATACGGGAATGACAAGGAAAACATGTATTTTTAGGAACACGCCATTTTGGTTGTATTGACAGCAGGCTTGTAAAACCCACGGAACATAAAACACATGAAATGATCTTTCAAATGAAGTTGCCCCTTGAACACCCCGTTTAAAAAGGGGTTGCTGATAGGGCAGGTTTAAGTCGCAAAAAATGTGTTTTCTTCGCAAATAAACTGTACGTGTTTGTGGGTTTTCTCATAACTTCTATTGGGCGCCAACAACTGGGTCTGTTTGCTTTTTTAACAGTCACCCTTTATTTATTTTTAATCCAATATCCAAGCATTAAGAGCAACTTTTACTCCGCCAACCTGCTGATAGACGTTTGGCTTTGTATTTAAAGCCAGCAATAGCTACTCATGTAGGACGTGTTTAAATTATCAGCAATATCGCCAGGAATAACAAGAATATCATATTCAAAACTACTCTAGACATGAAATTCTATTAGTTTCGATTGCGATGGTCAATTTTTGAGAAATTTGTAATTTACCTTTTATGATTTCTATCATCCATGCTCAGCTCAAACACAAAATTAAACTGAATTGTTGTTTTTGATTTTTATTAAAAATGTTTAAGTTTTTCTTGTCGTAGCCAGTTTTTTCGTGTCACTGAATTCCTGTACTCAATAGATAGGATGGTTCAAAATTTGCAGGCAGAAAACATTTGGAAATGATAAGACTAATTTGCAATATCAAACATAGCAAGAACTTTCTAAAACATGTCTAAAACTTTAAGAAATTTTCTAAGCATTTGGAGGAATTATGTTTCTTAATTTTTTTGCATAATAATTAAATACCGCACATCGAAATTATTATATCTTACTTGGTATTCACCGTATGTATCTCCCGAGCCTTTGTCAAATACTCTGGACCGTGGAGAATCCTCTTGTTCAGAAGGCAAATTAAGCCTGAAAATGGAGCACGAATATAGTAATATAATTTGTAAAACATTAACTTAGAGAATGTTTAATCATAAAGCGTATATGCATTTAGCATGTAACATATGCCCTGCTTTGTAGTTACACAAAAAATAATTTAATTAAAATTAATTAAAAACCGTGAAACTTGGGTAATCTATGTTCTACATCGCTTAAATATCTGATAAATGTAAGGATATATACTAATAATAATAGGAAAGACTTACCTTAAATTAACTAGATCTAAGTTTCCCAACGAATATGGTTCACTATCTCGATATTTCGTATATTTCTGAAAAGGGATTTAAAACTTATAAGGGAAGCGAAAAAATGAATTCCCAATTTTGCCTTACGCCGTCAGATCTAGATAGAACTCTTCTCATGCTATGCCAAGTAGCAATTACAGAAAATTTGCCGCCTTCGTCAAATCGGAGAATGTGAGAGTAGTTGGTATCAAAACGTTAAAATATTAAGTAGAAAAGTGTCAACTAGTTGTCAGAATATTTACGTTAAAAATGTACCTAGACTTAGGTAACAAATACTATGATAATGAAACAACCAGACCAGATGTTTTGAGACCCAAGGAAAAATGTATCTATTGATTGCAGTATCTGCATGTGCTACGGAACAAGCCTCAGACTGCCACAATCAAACAATAAAAGTTAAAATAATTTAAATTATTACACTTTGCATAGAGTGGAACCTATAGTAATTGTTAGTAAGTTTCTAAATTATATGAATACCATTTTTCGTTTTAACCGAGAAATAAAATTATTTAGCATTATTTTTTGGATCATCAACATCACGCAGCTGGTCTCATCCACTGCTGGACCTAAGCCTCTCTCAATCTTCATCTTCATCATCTTCATCAGCCTGTATTAATCCACTCCTGGACATAGGTCTCTTCCATTTATTTCCATGTTGACTTGTTTTGTGCTGAGAGCATCCAGTTCTTTCCCGCTAGTTTCTGTATGTCGTCTCGCCATCTTAGCATGGGTCTGCCTCTGCTTCTCTTTGTTCTCCGTGGTCTCTACATAACAGTCTTCGCCCATTTCTCCTCATTTTGCGCAACATGTCCTGCCCAACGCTACTTGGTTTTTGCAGTTTGTTCTATGACGTCACTCAATTTGGTTCTTGCCCTGATATCTTATTATCAGGGCCTTTCTCAATAATGTCCGCAAACTCCAATCTTCGCATCAGGCATAACACTGTGCTGACATGAGGTTTTAGGTTGATGTCGCTCTATATCGCAAATGAGTTATAACTCATCGCATTTCACTGTGCTGCACTTTAAATAACGATTAACGCTGAGCATTTAACCTAGGGACGGATTATCCTTAGATTTACACAAAAAAAGTCACCATAATTTTTATGAGTATCATTTCACTGACTGATGGGATGGATTTTCACTAAACCATCACTGTGCCAGCTTCTGAAAATTCACTCTAATTCCGTACCTAATGTGATCACAGGTTGGTTGGTAATGTGATCACTCGGGTGGTTTGAAAAGTTCGTGCAAACATGAAAACTGCTTAATTTTTCAGGGTAGATCATTTCTATTTTTCAACATAATCTGCTTTTAGACTAATACACTTGAACCAACGATGGGATAGTCGATTAATCACGTCTGAATAATAGGATTTGTCCAAGTATGTAAAATAGGAATTCGTTTCTGCAATCACCTCCTCGTTTGAGTTTTTGCCTCCATCTATTTTTCATATTGGGGAACAAGTATTAGTCCGCGGTAGCCAAATCTGGAGAATAGGGGGGATGTGGAACGGGTTGGAACCCTACTTCCATCAATGTTGCGGCCACAACTGCTCAGGTGTGAGCTAGTGCGTTATCGTGATGGAGAAGGACTTTTTTCAGGGTCAATCGTCGACGTTTCTTTTGCAGTTCGCTTTGCAAACGGTCCAATAACGATTAATGCACCTGTAACAGTTTTACAGTTGGTTACAGTTAGTTTTCTTTAGTTTTTTGGGCACGTAAAGCCTATAATATTTTTTGTTAACCTTTGTTGATTCTTTACGTTGTTTGAAAATCTAACTCTGTCATTGGAATTTTTATCTCTCGCTTGAGTTTTCCTATACTCCATGCGTTAGATCATTCGATGGAGAATTATGTCCTTAATAAATGGCTACTTCTTTGTTATTTTCATAGTCAAGTGACTATTAACTACTCTCACTAATACATATTTGATTCCAAGTTGAGTTTTTGTCCGCAGACACTTGCTCAACGGTTTTTTGCCAAGGCTAAGGTTTCCGGCATAACTAAAATGCATTAGCTAATATAGAAAATATATTGAAACTTTAATAACAACCTGGATATTGACAAAATTTAAATATTCGTTTATTGGTTTCTGAGAGGAAAGTTATTCCGATCATGTCCACTATAGCAAAACCAGTAGCAATGAATCCAGACAGCCATCTGTTAATAGATTAATAAATTATCCCGAAGAACAATGGCACAAATTTGCCATAATTTAGTTAATTGCTAACATACTTTTCTCATAGCTATATTTTCATACTTTCGAACTGATTGTGCAACTAGTTTCTCTGCATCATTTTTAAAGGTATTATCTCAATCGATCTCTTTGGAAAATCGTATTTAATTGTTTTGTGCTTTATAAATCTAAACGGGCTATTTGATAATAATATCGAAACGCCCGCGTGATCGCGCGCATCTGTAGAAGCTCTATCGATTCAGACCAGCCCTGACCTCGACCCACTCATCCGGGATGGACCCGCGACACACGCCCGTTAGGATCTCAACATAAAGTTGAGGGTAGGTAGGTTAACAGCGGATGAGCTATATTTAGGGTTGTAAAATATCCGTAAATAGCCCCAGTTTTCCATGAAATTAATACAATCACATTTAAAATAACTTAGATGGGTAATCGTATGGATAAAGTATGATCATAGTTTATGTATACATACATACAGATAATTTATTACATATTCAAGAGACTGAATTGATTTTCTCTGATTTTATAATAGAAATTATGATATAGCATAGAATTAGATAAACATTCTGCTTTATAACGATTTTATTTTACACTTCATCTCTGATAGAATGTCTTAAAGATGCTTACCTTGCCTAAATGCAGCTATACAGGGATATTGCTTGCACGTTGGCCACCCCATTTTAACATCTAATTTGAAATGCAACGAAAAAACATTGAATACAAAACTTGTCCGTAAAAGTAATAACGCCTAGTGTCTAGTGTCAATAATCAGCTAGTCGGACATACGCCTCCGTTAATCGTTGCCACTCCCGGTCTTGTGCTCGCCTCATCCAGCTATCTCCAATTAGTCTCTTGACATCGTCTGTCCATATGGTTTGGTGTCGTCCTCTGTTTCCAAATTTCTACGTTGTTTACTCGGGTTACACACAATCATTCTCCTTTCCATTGCTTGTTGTACAGTTTGTAATCTATGAATAATCCCTTTGTTAATCGCCCATGTCTCTGTGCCGTATGTTAAAGTTGGGAGAATATACTGATCAAAGCTTCATGCCTTGAGAGTTTTTGGAAGATCCGATTAAAAGACATCTCTAAACTCTCCAAAACTTGTCCATGCCAACGATATCCTTTGAGTTAAATCTGCTTTTAAAATACCTTTTGGTAATTCCATTCTTTGACCTATATATAGATATATGAATTGCTCATTCCAGCTTTGTGTCATTGATTTCGATATGTATATTCTATGTTATTGTCGTTTGTCATGTGTTTAGTTTCTTCGGTGTTTATTATAAGACCTACGTTCTTTGAATTCTGCTTTAGCTGCGTTATTATTTCCTGCAGACCCTTCTGATTTTGTGCGAGCAGAACGATATCGTCCGCGAAACGAAGGTGGCTCAAGTAATTTCCATTTATCTGTAGGTATCCCTTTGGTGTCCCAATCAATTTTCTTAAACATACCTTCTTACGCAAGCGTAAAACAATTTGGTGAGATGGATTTGCCCTGTCTGTCTCCTCTTCATACTTTAATTTTGTTTGTACAGTCCTTCCATGCAACTCGAAAAGGTGCTTTATCGTATATATTTTTAATCAAAGTTGTGTACCGGTGGTCTACTAGGCAGTAGTTACTTAGCGCGTTTAACATAGCTCATGTTTCGATGGAGTCAAACGTTTTTTCTTAATCGACAAAAGCCATCCAAAGGGAAAGCTTGTATTCATTTGCCTTTCTATGATTTTTTTTATGACTTGCAGGTGATCCAAAGTGCTAAATCGTGTTCTGAAGCAGAAACCGGCTTCAGCTTGGGCTAATAGCTGTCGAGTTTTTTGGGTGATCTTTCTGTTATTATTTTTATAAACACTTTATACATGACATATAGTAAACTAATTGGACTGTTTCGCTGAGTTTTGTTTTCTCGCCCCTTTTGAAAAAGTAACACTGCCAAGGCATTTTTCCAGTCCTCAAGTACATCACCCTCTTGCAGGCACTTATTATAAAGTATCATTAGGAGATCGATTACAGTCTCCCCTCCGTATATCAACCTTTCCAATATGATACCATCTTCTCCTGCTGCTCGTCCTTTTGGAACTTTTGACATAGCCGTTTTAATCTCTCCACTGGTCATATTTGGGGCTTCTTGGGAGCCCACATTAAGTATATTTATTCATTTTTCGTTTAATTCACCTCGCGGTAGAGCGACTTTGCCTTTATATAGTGATCGATAGAAGTTTTCTGTTATTTATTTCTATTCCTTCAGTTCTGGTGGCTTCGATGTTATTCTCGTTTAAAAGTTTTTTAATGTGTTTTAAACTCTCCATATTTTATTGTCCCTCTAATTTGTTGATTTTTATATTTTCTTGTTTTGGGTCTTATTTTCTTTCTTATAGTTTTATTTATCTGAGTAATTTCTATGCGACTTATCGTGTCTGGGCCTGCTGCCTTCTTCTCGTCTTGAGTTTCTGAACAAGGTCAATAGTTTCTTTCGAAAGGCTATGTTTCTTGGTTTTCTTTTTACCTGCCACTTTTTGTGCTATTTCTGGAATTTGCTGTGAGATCTCTTAATTGAAGATGTCATCAGATCGAGTCGGTAATTTTTTCAGTTAGTTCTGGTATTACTCTTGTTTCAGTTTAAGTTCCTCAATTTCGATACCTCTAGACATTTTTTTTATCACTGCTTGTCGGTCTATTTGTCTATTGAAATATATCTTAGATCATTCAGTGATCGCTCCCGATTTTGGCAGAGTTAATGACAGTTGTATCTAAGAGAATGGTTCTATTATTACTTATTATAAAGTCAATCTCATATTTGCTTATTCCATTTGGATGTTTCCAAGTCCAACGCCCATCTTGTCTGTTGTTGAAGTAGGTATTAATAATAATCAAAATCTTATGAACGTTAAGCTCATTTTACGATAATACCAATTGATACAGAGTGTCACAAATTCAAGTGGCGGACCACACCTACTTGTTTTTAAATAGACTGCCGCACTTTGTAGGCCTATTCGATATAAATCTTTGTCGAAACCACGTGTTTCTTGTTATTTTTTAAGATGTATG